TATGACTTTTTTCTGCTTTTATTCGCATCCGTTTATTGGGTTTCTGGTTCACATCCCAGTTTATGATTTTTTCTGCTTTATTCACATCCGTTTTGGGTTTCTGGTTCACATCCCAGTTTATGATTTTTTCCTGTTTTATTCACATCGTTATTAGGGTTTCTGGTTCACATCCCAGTTTAGGATTTTTTCTGCTTTATTCACATCCGTTTATGGGGTCTCTGGTTCACATCCCAGTTTATGATTTTTTTTCTGTTTATTCGCATCCGTTTATCGGGGTTTCTGGTTCACATCCCAGTTTTATGACTTTTTCTGCTTTATTCACATCCGTTAATTGGGGTTTGGTTCACATCCTACTTTGAGAATGTTTATGACTTTTTGTTTTATTCACATCCGTTTATGTATTGGTTCATATACATAACTTAACAAGAATGCTTTATCCCGTAAACTGATTTACTTTATTGACATCCTTAGTTTATGATTTTTTTCCTTTATTAATATCCGTTTATTGAGGTTTTTGGTTCACATCCCACGATAATTCATTGGTTCACATCCTAGTCTGCGAATGTTTTATCCCGCTCAGGACTTATTTCATTCCCATCCCAGCTTATGAGATTCCGACTCACATCCCAGTTTATCCCAGCCATCCCGCTCTACCCAGGTAACACCGCTACCTGTATCTCAGCTCGAGAACCGAAAGCGCAGACTGGAAAAAACAAACACATGCACACACACACAGAAAGGCTTGAAAAACGAAAGCGAAAAAAGGGCAAAACACGAAAGGCAAATTAGCCGTATTGACCAACAACATATATTGCATCAACTGATGTTGCGTCCGGACAGAGGTATCACAGGCGAACTGACGCACGAAAGCCGTAATTTGTTAAGTGTTGGGAAATAATTGATCACAAGCGATTAATATTTCAACAAACATTTGTGTATTTACTGATCAAACACCGACGTCAGTAAATGCCGGCCAGAGAGCGGGGTGGAAGGGAGAGGGGAAGGGAGGGGAGCTGAGGGGAGGGAAGGGGAGCGAGGGGAGGGAGAGAGGGGAGGGAGGGGAGAGGGGAGGGAGAGGGGAGGGGAGGGAGGGAAAGGGAGGAGGGAGAGGGAGGGGAGGGAAGTAGAGGGGAGTGAGGGGTGTGGTGAAAAGAGGAAGGGGTGGGAGTGAAGGGAAATGGGAGGGGGGGGTGTTGGGTAGGGATCGAGGAGAGGGGAGAGGAGGGAGGTACGTGAGAGAGAAAATGGCGAACGGAGAGAGGGAGAGAGAAGGGTTAGGTCGAGAGGCAGGGGAGGGGAGGGGAGGGGAGGGGGTGGGAAGCGGAATGTACAAACCCAACCGTCACCCCTCCCTCCACCCTTACCCCCCACCCTCTCCCCCACAGCCGCTCCGACTGAACTGATATTGCAACGTGATTGCAATAGCTGCATCATAGGAGAGCTTTTATTATTTGTGTGATTCAGGCATTACCCGGATGCGGGTGCGTACGATAATTCAATGCTCTATTTGATGTTTTCCCCATAAATATTCATGCACAGATTACGTTTATGGAATCGCATGAATGTTTTATATTCGCCGCATGTTCGTGCTGACACATCCAATTTTCGCGAGTATTAAAAAAAAAAAAAAAGAAAGAAAGAAAAAAAATGAAAGAAATGATAAAAGATGTGTATTTTTTCTTTTTCTCCTTTTCTTTTCTTCCCTTTTATGTCTTTCTGTTTTTCTTTCTGTCTGTCTGTTCTATTTATCTGTTTGCCTGTCTCTTTCTCTTACCTTCTTCCCCTTTTTAGTTTTCTCTTCTCCTTTAATTCTTCTCCCTCCTCCCTTCCTTTCTCTCTATCTCTCTCTCCGCTCTCCGTCCCCGTCTAACTTTCACCTTTCCGTTCCATCCCCCTCCCTTCCCTCTTCTTCCCTCTCCCTGCCTCCCTCCTCTCCTTTATCTCTCCTCCCCTTCTCCCCCCCCCTTTCTCTCCACTCCCTTTCTTTTACCTTTCCATAACTCACTCCTTCCTGCATTCTCCCTCCTTCCCTCCACCTCCTTCCCTCTCTCCCGCCTCCTTCCTCCCTCCCCCCTCTCTTCCTCCCCCTCTCCCTACCCCCTACTCCGTAGTTGATATAATTCAGCGGCTCCCACAATATATATCTTTGGATTTACATTACCTCGTGATTTAGATCTTGGGGCGTATTTTCCGCGCTTTTCCGGAGCCGCCATGCGAATACAGGGCCCATCAAAGCGGATTTCCCCGTCGCTCTTCAAAGACAAATTGAATCAGCCTTCAATTCTCGACCGCCATTCATAGGAGCTCGAGCAAAAATTCCTCCCTCTCCTCCTCTCCAGCCCTCCCCTTCCCATTCCTTCTTCCTATCGTCTCCTTCCCCTTGTCGGGTTTCTTCTTCCCCCCTTCGCCTTCTTTTTGTTGTCTTTTTTTTGCTACTTCTTCCCTCTTCCTCCCTATCCTCCTTTTATTTAGGATCACTTCTCTTTCCACTTCCCTATCTCCTACCTATTTCTCTCCCTCCTATTCCTCCTCCGTCCTTCCCCTTCTACGTCCCCTCCTATTTACATTCCCTTCCCCTCTTCCCTCCTTCCTCATCCCCCTTCTCTTCCTCCATCCTTTCCCTTGCCCCTCCCCCTTTTCTCTCTCCCGAATACATGCATATGAAATCTCTCCTTTTCTCTAGTTGTGTGTAATATGAATAGTCTTCGTGGACCAAGATCTTTGAAGGAGGGGAAGCGGGGGAGGAGGGGAGGAGGGGAGGAGGGAGGAGGGGGGAGGAGGGGAGGAGGGGAGGGGGGAGCACGAGGAGGGGTGGGGAAAGGGAGGTGGGAGGGGAAACGGAGAGGGAGAGGGAGAAACTAAGAGAGATGGAAGGAGGAGAGAGGGGGAGAGGGAGAAACTAAGAGAGATGGAAGGAGGAGAGAGGGAGGCAGGAAGAAGGCTAAGAAGGAGGTGCAGCAGAGGGAGAGGGTGAGGGGAGAGGAGAAGGAGAAGGAGAGGGAGAGCATTTGGGAAGAGGAGAGGCAGAGGGAGAAGGCTAGGAAGGAGTGAAAGAGGAACAGGGAGAGCGAAAAGGAAAATGAGTAGGAAGGAGAGTAAGAACAGGAGAATAAGGAGAGGAGGAGGGAACAAACAAGAGACAGATCAGAAGAGAAGAGAAGAGAAAGAAACCCTAAAAAAAATATCGAAAGATTAAAAAAAAAAAAAAAAAAAAAAGAAAAAAAAAACTTAAAGAGAGAGAGAAAGAAATAAAATAAAATAAACAAATCCTAACGAGAATCCCAGAACCCCGTATCAAGTTAGTACAACCAAAACTCGCCCCCGATACAGTGACGCAATCCAGACGAGGCAGACGTAATCCTCACAAATGGTTCGCCGTCTTGAAGATCGCGCCGCGGGGACACCGGAGTAACGCCCGCCGACTTAATACTCCGGATCTTAATCTTATAATTCTTCCATCATCTATTTCCTTGGGGGGTGGGGGAGTGGAAGGGGGGGATGGTGGGGGTGGGGGGTTAGGGTAAGGGGTAGGAGGGTGTGGGGGGTGGGAGTGGAAGGGGGTGGGGGATGGGGGTTAGGGTAAGGTAGGAGGGTGTGGGGTGGGAGTGGAAGGGGTGGGGTGGGGAGGTTAGGGTGAGGGGAATGGGGTGAAGTGATGAGGAAGAAGGAAGGAGGAAGGAAGAGTGATGGGTGAGGGTGAAAGGACAAGGATCGGAGGATTGGGGATGGGAGACAGGAGGAGGAGGAGGAGGAGGAGAGGAGGAGGAGGAGGAGAGGAGGAGGAGGAGGAGGAGAGGAGAGGAGGAGGAGGAGGAGGAGGAGGAGAGGAGGAGGAGGAGAGGACGACGACGCGGGAGGTGGAGGAGGAGAAGAGAAGAAGATGATAATGAAGAAGAAGGAGGAGAGAGGAGGAGGAGGAGGAGGAGAAGAAGATAGGAAGGCAGGAGGAGGAGAGGAGGAGGAGGAGGAGGAGGAGGAGGAGGAGGAGGAGAGAGGAGGAGAGGAGAGAGGAGAAGGAGGAGGACGAGAAGAGGAGGGAAGAGGAGGAGAGGAGCAGGAGGAAAAAGGAAGATGAAGAAAGAAGGAGGGAGAGAAGAAGAAGAGGAGGAGGAGGAGGAGGGGGGAGGGGAGGGAGGAGAAGGAGGAGGAGGAGAAGAGAAGAAGAAGAGGGAGGAAGAAGAAGGAGGGAGGAGGAGAAGGAGGAAGAAAGGTGATGATATTATGTGGCTCAGATTCTGCTTACGAGAGTCCGCGTCTTAAGAGATGCTGCAAACGAGGAGAAATGCTTCAGAGATTATTTGCGACGCTGGAGGTGAAGAAGAGAGATGGAGAGAGAGAGAGGAGGAGAGGAGAGGGAGGGGGAG